TATTTATTTCTTTCCTTGGAAAAAAAATTATTTTTCCAAAAAAAGCCGAAACAGGTCGACTTTTGATCGAAGGGGAACATCTTTTCACATCTTCTTTCTTGTTACAGACTTGGCCTCTCTAGGAATGGGGCGCAAGCCCCCACAAATTTTAATAGAGAAGGAGGAGTAAGTGACACATCGTTTGAAACGTATTCTAATTCTCTACACAACCGTGTTTCATTTTTTAAATTTCACCTATTAGTTTCGGAGATACTGGTTGTTAATAAAAAAAAAACAACTTTTTACAAATTTATTTGCAAATTATTACCTGTCAGCCAATTAAGTGTTCAAATTGATGACCTCCAGCCTCCATACAGTAATATAAGTCTTGTAAATAGCGTTCATGACATTTTGTGACATTTCTGGAGTAACTTTGCGGCATTCGTTGGCAATTCGTTGGCGTAGATCTTGAAGGGAAGTAGACGGAGCGAAATAAATTTTGGAATTTAAGTGACCCCACAAGAAAAAGTCCAAAGGAGACAAATCCGGCGATCGTGCAGGCCATTCTATGACTCCTCTTCTCCCAATCCACTGATTTACAAACTTACGATTAAGCTACTGCCGAACAAGCAGGGAGTAGTGTGGGGAGGGGGAGCTCCGTCCTGTTCGAATATCAACTGGTCCTCGAGATAATTCTCATTATTCTCGATAATGTTTGCCGATTTAGTTCAAAATTTAACAAAAACAATAAATTTAATTAGACTAGAATACCCTCAAATACTCAGCTAGCCGTATTTGATAAATGCACAAAAAAAAATTGAAATCGAATCTCTGGTTTAAAATATTTTTATGTTTTGTCAGAAGTTCCACTAACAAGAAAAATCTGGTAAAAAACAAAAGACTATTTATTACAAGATTATACAAAATAATTTCATATTACCCCAAATACAGTCCCCACCCCTTCTAAATCAAATTTAATGGAAATATCAGAGCAAAATGTTCTTTGAGGGCACCTAACTTTTTAAGGAGGCAAATTGTACCAAGGTAATGTTCTGCCAACGAAACTGCCTCTTTATTTCCTATTATTTATCTACAATTTATCCAATACAACAGTATAAATTATAGAAGAGAATCCTCGTGTGGCATTTTATTCATCTGTAGGTCCTGTTGCCATGCCTACGCCAGCCGAATATCAAAACCGTATTGTTTTCAGAGACACTTTTAAAAATCAATTCCTAGCCTCAGGTGTTTTGTTTAAATTAAATACTTCAAGGCAGGCTTTGAAATGCGGATTCAGTTAACTCGATTGTAATTTATGGGCGGAATAATGAAAGTACAAAGTTGTTAAAATATTATTTATCATCCGCATTACTGCTGGTAGTTCTTTGTGTTCCAGCGCAACTGAAAAAGGCTTATCCGCGTAATGAAATTGAATATCGTTTGATATCTGCGAGTATTTTCGGTTTTCTACTCACAGAGAACAGTTGCTCTGTACAGGGTTAGTCACTATAATCTGACAACTTATTGTGAGTTTATTATTGAAATTACAAAAGTTTTTAATACAAAAGTTTTAGCTTTTTCATGAATTAGAAAAAACAATTTAATAATGGAAACCACTGACATTTTAAGTGGAACACCCTATATATATTAATGCATAATTAGCTTCGTTAAATTTTTCTCTTTTCAAAAATATATAATATGTTACTGTTTGAATCAGGACTTTTCGACATATTTCAGTTCAAAACTATTTTTGAAAAAACAGGAGGGAAATTTATGTCTGACGGATCGCAGAGGCTATGGTCGAGGCACGCGGAACAAACAAATGACTTTGACAGAAGTTTATCATCATTAATTTATTTCCTATTTTAACAAAGAAACATAAGTTTCTCCTTAGCTGCAAAGGCACATTCTCCAGAAGTGCAGGAAATTCTTCTTGTAGGAAATTTAGGTAACTCACGCTGGTCAATATACAGCGTGGTAAAAAAGTTCTGCATAAAATTCATATTTTCGTTAAACATTTTTTTTTCGAAAAACGGTGAAACCCGTCGATTTTTATTTGATCCAGGGCACCTTGTTATGTGGAAAAAATTTTTTTTTGATAATCCACTTACGGCAGCGATGACATAATTTTTTTTAAATGACAACGCATATTTTTTTCGTTCGAAATTGATGACATTGATAATTATCTAAACAACGGTGTGAAAATTTCGATGTCTTACATAACAATTTTTTTTAGAAAAATGCACCTTAAGTTCTTATAAGTGATAATTGTCTACTTACACTATTAATGGCTCCGAAAAGGACAAAGTTGACAAAATTACATTTCAAACGAGTAAAATTACACTAATGTTTGTGTAAGTCTAGCGAAATTGTTCGAATTGCCCACCCTGTACCATTTGGCATTGTCCTAAGCGTGTGTAAACGCCGTCTACACTTCGTTCAAGCATTCCCGGGTCGATTTGATTTATTTCAAAACGAATACGGTTTTTAAGTTCTTCCAAATCACCTGGTCTGTTTGTGTACACACGCGATTTCAAATAGCCCCACAAAAAAAAGTCTAGAGGTGTTAAATCAGGCGAACGCGGAGGCCACTCGATTGTTCCGCGTCGCCCGATCCACCGGCCAGTAAACGTGTTATTCAAGTACTCCCGTACTTGCACTCCATAATGGGGCGGTGCACCATCCTGCTGAAACCAAATTCTTTCCTCAGGAATATCAGGATCCTCGTTGTTCGGGAATAACTCTGCTAAGCTTGGGACCAAATCGAACCGCAGGAAATCCAAATAGCGAGCAGCAGTTAAATTTTCCTCGAAAAAATACGGGCCTAAAATACGACGCCCTATTATTCCCGCCCAAACGTTCACCTTTCGGGGGTGCTGATGATCTACTTCTTGCACCCAGTGCGGGTTTTCCTGAGACCAATACCGGCAGTTATGTCGATGCACCGATCCATTAAGATAAAAAGTAGCCTCGTCAGAAAAAATTATGTTCTTGAGGAAGTCGGGGTCTCCGTTACATCGATGCATTAAATCTTCACAAAAGTGGAGACGGCGGTCTGGGTCGTCCTCAGTCAATGCATGTATCAAGTGACCCTTATAGGGGTGAAATTTCTCTTTTTTGAGAAAGTTCACCACAGTTACATGTGAAATATCATTGTTCAATGCAATCGACCTTGTACTAGAATGAGGGTTGTCCTGGAGCTCCACCAGGATATTCAATCTAGTTTCATCATCTACTCTAGGACGACCCGCACGAGGAGCATCTTTCACACTACCAGTTTCCTCAAACCTTGCCAGTACCCTACTAACCGTAGATTGCGTAATTGGTGGTCTGTCAGGGTACGTTGCATTAAATAATTGGCAAGCTTCTTGATGGGTTCGTAACTTATCGCCGAAACCAATCATCCTCAAAATATCAATTCTTTCGCGTTCACTAAGTTTTGCCATTTCGAATTAAACGATTTCACCAAAGAATGTTAAATCGGTACTGATTTTTAGTCTTCAATATTTCAGGTAATCTACTCCTTTCAAGTAAACATTTCTTTGGATTTTTTTTTTTTGAGGAATTTATCGGCAAACTCGAAGACAAAAAGTCGACCTTAATTTGCTACATACTATTTGGATTTTGTGCGGTTGAACTTGGTTCTAAATTTTGCAGTTTAATCAGGATCCTGACAATATCTGATGAATAATTCCGCAAATAATTACATAACACCAGTTGCAACTTAAGTTATCTGAAATGCTTTCTGCCGAATAAATTTTTTTTTAAGGCATTTGATCCGTAAACAGCAAATTATTGCATTCAAGAACTTAAGGTGCATTTTTCTAAAAAAAAATTGTTATATAAGACATCGAAATTGTCACACCGTTGTTTAGATAATTATCACTGTCATCAATTTCGAACGAAAAAATATGCGTTGTCATTTAAAAATTATGTCATCGCTGTCGTAAGTGGATTATCGAAAAACAATTTTTCCACATAACAAGGTGCCCTGATCAAATAAAAATCGACGGGTTTCACCGTTTCTCGAAAAAAAAAATTGTTTAACGAAAATATAAATTTTACGCAGAACTTTTTTACCACGCTGTATGTTCTTAAAAATAAGGCCCAATTAAAAGCCTACCAATGACGCCGCAGCATATATTTACTTTTTGTTTTGGTTTTGGACTGGACTTACAATGTGGGGATTTTCAATGGACCAGTAGCATTCATTGCGCCTGTTTAGCAAACCATTACTGAAAAATCGACTTTCGTCCGTCCAAAGAACGTGCCGAAAAAGGTTCTGATCGACAGTTTCTACATTTACTACAATTTGAGCTGTAAAATTAAGTCTGTTTTCAATGTGACCCTCAGGCAAATAGTCCAAATTGTGAATTTTTGTAGTCATAATACCCATTGGTCTTTAAAATTCGCTGAATAAAGGTGGTAAAGTACCACAGTTTTTCGGGTTTTTAACATACAAATTGTCCTATTTACTGTCTCTCTCACGTGTCGACTACAATTACATTTGGCTTCGGGTGCATTTCCGGTTTGGTTTTTTCGAAACCTATTAAATATTTCAATAAATCGCAATTGATCAGTTTTATTTATTGCCTTTATATTTCAGTATTCAATAAAGCTTCCACTATAATGGCCAACGCGTACAAACGTTTTGTAAATATATAATTCTGCTGGATGTGGAACAATATTTCTATACATTTTTCAGCTCCATGAAAAATGCATGCATTCATGAAACAAAATTTCATAAAAAAAATAACGTTGAATAGAGGAAATGCCCCTGTTCCGACATCAAACTCATATTTTATTTAGCACGTAATAAAGCAAATTCATTTGGATAATGCACTTCCATGGAATAACTATACAGATTTCGGAGTTTATTTATTTTTGCAGACTTATTTTCCTTTCATTACTGAAATGTGCTGAGTTACAGAAATGTTTGTATGAGGACATTTTCGCATGTTATTATTTTGTAATATATTTACAGATATTCAATTGGATAATGAAATTAATATACAACTCCCTTTCTATAAAACAATTTTTATTAAATTCGTACAGCTAACTATGGCGAAAACTAACAAAAATAAATTAATATAAATAGTTACAGATGCATTACAAAGGTCTTTCTGGCAAGTAACGCAACTCTTCAGATTCGATCCCTTGCTTTCATTTTTAATCGTTTCGCAGATACTTTCTTCCGATTTGAGTCCACATCTTCGGGTGTGGATGCTTTCGGTGGAATTTTCTGAAAAAGAAAGTATTTGGTTCAATAAATTCAGATTTAAAATGTAAATAACTTATATTGAACTACCACATGGATAAAGTTAGACTATTTTAGTAAGCTTGACATAGAGTTAATTGGATATACAGGGTGGTTCCGAGGTAATAGGCCAAAATTCATGGGTAGATTCCCGAAGCAAAAATATTGCGATTTGGCCGAACTTACCTTAGTCCAAAAGTTGATAGTTAAAGAGATACAGGGTGTTAAATGTAAAATATTATTTTAGTTTTTTTCATTTGTTCCTTAACATATGCAAATATCCTTACAAAATTTTGGGGTTTGGAGTTCTTTAAGTAGATGAATTGAAATATGTTCACATTTTGGTTAAAGTTCATGGAGGGAGCTAGCTGCAGTAGATTGAATATGTTAAAAATGACATAACTTTTTATACCTTAAGGTATCTCATCTTTGGTATCAAATTCTTATTTTCCAACTTTTTTTACACAAAAGATATAACTAGCGTTCAAATAAAAACGTGGTCGAAGTTGGCTCTGACACATTGGACGTAGGGAGTAGCTTATAGCGACCAACTTAACCTCATTTTTCAACGAGCTGTATAGCAGCTGTCAGTTTCAATAACGTTAATGACTATATGACTTTATTTTAAAGAATAATCGTGATAACAATAACAAACAATTAAAGGAGCTGCGGAAAGTGTCCCCCTCCTTGTTATAACAATATGTTAAAGCAGCTGCTGAAAGTGTCCCCCTCCTTGTTCCAAGCACTTTTCACACCTGTTCCTCAAAGAATTAAAGACATTTTCTAAGATGCTCGGGGTATTGTTAATTTCACGAATCTTGTCTATAAGTCGAGCCTGCAGATGGTTTAAATCAGGAATAGGCAGTTCAAAAATAGTGTTTTTAAGGTAAGGCCACAAAAAGAAATCACACGGCGTAATATCACATGACCTCGGTGGAAATTCATGTTCAGCATTGAGACTTATTAGTCGATTTTGGAAAACTTCCCTCAACATATTCATCGTCTCGCCTGCCGTATGTGCCCTTGCGCCATCTTGTTGAAAGTAAAAGTTTGTAATTTCGTTTTCTTCCAGCTGGTTAACAAAAGGAGCGATAATTTCTTCTCTATACCTTTGCGTAGTAAGAGTACCATTAAAAAAAATAGGTCCATAAATCCTCCTTCGATTGAGAGCACACCAAACTCCAATTTTTTGAGCGTGTAGAGGGCCCTCGACAAAAAGTTATCTGGTTTTTCAGAAGACCGCGTTCTCATATTCTGTGAATTTACGTAACCACTTAAATGAAATCAGGCTTCATCAGAAAAAAAGGTGATATTATGAAGTTCATCGTAGTTGTTTAAAAACCATTCACAAAATACAGCCCGTCGCGGAAAATCAACTTCATGAAGTTCTTGCTGACAAGTTAAACGATAGGAGAACAAACGCAAATCTTTTTTTAACACTGTGTGGCAGGTACCGACTGATACTCCCACCATTTGTGATAAAACACGTACAGAAGTTCTTGGCGCATTTTCCATTATTTGTTGGACATGTTCTTTTAATTCTTCAGTCCGCTTTTTAGGAAAAACATTAACACAACGCTGAACTGCACTTTGAAAAATTTTGTACTCAACAACGCCGGGAAATTGATTTTGAAATTCTATGAAACATCCCTCAATAGAATACTTCCATGTTCCATCAATCTTGCGTCCATTTCTAAAGTAGGACTCTATGATAAACACTTTTTGTTGTTGAGAAAACACCATTTTAAACGCTTTTTAAAACGAAAATATTCAAATTGATAGCGGCGATATAGCGCTTTGACAGATGACGTTTAGGTTCATTTGCTATACGCTACGCCCTACGTCCTACGTTGGTTTCAGAACCAACTTGACCACGTTTTTATTTGAACGCTCGTTACTTTAAGTTAGGACGAAAATCAAATAATTGGCGTTTTCCATTGCTGTCATTTGTATGCTACTTTCCATTAAGTATTATTCGTACCTAATTAAAATTACATCTTGGCTTACAATTTAAATTATATGTGCATAAATGTGAGATAGAATGCCGAGACCCGTTTTTTGGGGTTACATGAAATCAGTTGTTTATGGATAAAATATAAACACCTGGGAAGAACTGTGGCAGCAGGTTTAAAATGCTGCAAAGGTATTTCGCGTTAAGGATTTATACTTTAAAATAAGACAATCTTTTAATAAACGCGTTGATAAATGTATTGAAGTTAGAGGTGGACATTTTGAGCAATTATTGTCAAGATGGCATATTTTTTAGTAATGTTTACTATTTTACTGTTCATCACAATTGTTATTTCTAAATAAACCCCCGTTTTTAACATTTCTTAATTTTTTAATTATTTCAACTATGAGCATTGGAAGTTTCAAATATCTCGGAAACGGTGCGAGACAGCTACTTTCATAAAGTCTGCCTTGTTTGTGTAAAAAAAGTTGGAAAATAAGAATTTGATACCAAAGATGAAATTAAAGTACAAAAAAGTTTTCAACACATTCAATCTACGGCAGTTAGCGCCCTCTATGAACTAGAACCAAAATGTGAACAAACTTCAATTATTCTACCCAAAGAACATCAATCCCAAAATTTTGTGAAAATGAAAAAAACTAAAATAATATTTTACATTTAACACCGTGTATCTTATTAACTATCAACTTTTGGACTAAGGTAAGTTCGGTAAAATAGCAATAGTTTTGCTTTGGAAATCTATCCATTCTGGCCCATTACCTCGGGACCACCCTGTATGTAGGAAATTTTGTATCGATGTATCGATGATAATTTTTAATTAAAGAACCTATGTTTTCGTAATCTGTATCGTTTATCTTTAATGCCTGCTCTTTTTCTCGTTTCCAGTGCGATCAGAATGCGAGATAAAATCATGTCAGTAATTAATCGGATCACTGATTCTTGAAATAATACCACAGAATATTGTCAGGTATGAATACATTAACGAAAACATGTACGAGGTGTGTTCAGAGAATAACAGAACATTTTCTTTTAACTTTATTATTAATAGACGTCAGATACGCCAAATAAATGTCTTCTTTGTCATGACCTTAAATATCGCGATATTCTGGTAATATTAGAAATATTTAAGAATTTTCAAACCCCAAGTGACAAAGTAAAATAATTATAGAATTTATATAATTAAATTTATAGAACAATATTGACTTTTACAGCAATTAATAAATTAACATTTTATCAATGTTACTGAGCATGCCCAATAATAGTATACTATTTAACGAGCGTATAATATAGCCATTATACGCGAGGCAAATACTATATTTTATCTACGACTACTCACTCATCATATCTTTCGTGATTTCTCTGGAAGTAATTCCAATGATGCTAATTTCGCGGCTTCACGAATTTCAGGAGGGGTGCATCGAATTTCATTTTCACTGTCAGAATTCATGGTTAAACACAATTTACATTAACAACTGAAAACTGCAAAATTACTGCAAAAGTCAAAAATGTTTTATTTTGCGAAGTGTTGTCAAATCAATTAGTTACCATAGTAACAACAATTCAAGCAAGCTCGATTCTATTTTGTAGCGCGGTCAGAAACTATAAGGGATACGTATAAAAATTTATATTCCACACCTGTGGAATATGAAACTCATATTCCACGGGTGTGTAATATGAGTTACATTATGTACTTACTATCACAATTATAATGCGTCTATTATTAAATAGCCGTAGATAATAGTATATTATTCAACGAGCGTATAATGATGGGTATTATTCACGAGGTGAAGTTTACGGCCACGAGCCGCAGGCGAGTGGCCTAAATCACCGAGTGGATAATAGCCATTATACGGGAGTAGAATACTATACTTTATCCACGACTACTAAATATTTTTGTTGAAGTTTTTTTTGTTTTTAGTTCGTTTTTTAACACAATTTAACACAAAATATCAAAACACTGAGAAATCTATGCACACAAACAATAATGTTGACAGGTTTGAGTCAAATTTGTTTTGTTTTAAAAGCTACTTAGATTTATGAAATGTTTCGAAAAACATGGTATGTTAAGCAACAGATATACGACACGCACAAACGAAGTTGCTGATGGCTCAGTGTAGATGCTCCTTACCTTCCAACCGCTGGTCCCGGGTTCGAATCTGGTCTAGGAAAATTCACTTTTTTAATTTTTTTTTATATGTACGGCACTGAATTGAAAATATTTAGTGGTTTACACGATAAAATTTTAAAAAACCGACTGTTTGTAGCAGAACAATATAATATTATAGCTAAATCAAGGAAGCATCTGACAGTAGTGATTAATGACTCATTAATCACTGCCGTGATTAATGGGTATTAATAAGGTCGAGCAAACAGACGTATAATGGGTACATTATACAATAGTCGTGGATAAAAATACCTACTACTAGAACTAGAAAATGCCAAGATTAAACAAAAGAAGAGAAAATACTCTATTCTTTCCGAGCATGCGCATTAGAAATAGCATGGCTAATGTTACATTTTTACTTTATTTAAATTTATGAATATTCTTTTATATCGGTTTTTGTAAGTTTTTAGCACATTAGTGTATCAATTCGCCTGTTAAATTGCCCTCAAAGAAATAAGGTCCCAATATGCGATTTCCTACTATTCCAGCACAAACATTCACATTTTCCGGCCGTTGTGTATGTTTTTCTTGCATCCAATGCGGATTTTCTGGGCTCCAAAACCTAGTATGTTGCCTGTTCACGATTTCGTTTAAGCAAAAATTTATGTGATTTTTTAAGTTGGTTGTCTTTCAAATAAATTTCTAATTTCCTCGCAAAACTGTAGTAATCTGTCTGTGTCATCTGCCCATAGTTCTCGTAAGACGTTAGCTTTGTAAGCAGAGTTCTGTGTACTGAGGGCTTCGACAAGTTGAAGTTGGGCGAGATAGATCTAACGGATGGGTGAGGATTTTCAGTAACGGCGAGCATCACATTTTGACTATCGTTTTCGCTTACCGTTCTTCCCCTTCCTGATCCAAGCAAATCTTTTATACTTCCGATTTCTTCAAACTTTTTGGATACTTCTTGTAGCTCGACTAATTCTCGTCTGGATACTTATGGTGAAATAAGTTACATATCTACTGCTGACTACGGATTTTATCTTCGCATCCATTCATAATTAAAATTTCAATGATCTGTTTTTCGCTTAAACGGGCAACTATTTTTTTTAAATAATTTAACAACGAATGAATTGGAACTAAAACGATTCACGTTAAACCTCTGTACTCGAATGAATTTTATGTATTTATCAATTTTTTTTTTCGAGAAAAAAAAGCTTTAAAGTAAGTAGAAAAAGATTAATAAAGAGTAGGTATGTTTTAAAGTGTAGAAGAGACTATGATTGTTTGAAATAGACGTCAGTACGACATAAAAGACAATTTTTTACATTTTTTTGACATAGAGAAATATAGAGATTAAAAAAAAAATGTCGGTAATGTTATACGGCTGTCAAACAAGGCTCAAAAAAATAGAAAATATTGCAGAAAAGTAACGATTTCTATTTACTAATTGACCTGTTTCAGCGACATTTTAAAATCTGAACTGGAAAAAATATAAATTTTGTTCTATTGTTTTGGGACACACTGTATATTTATCAATGCTATCAATATGTTTTAATTCTTGAATATAAAATTATTTTTGGAAAAATATAAATAAAAAAATATAGAAAAGAAGACATAGGAGAAATATTAATACTTATTAACTACTAATATATTAATACTATTTCGTTTACAATTTTAAAAAGAACCATAAATATTTAATTTACTAATAACTTGTTAAATATACATTAAACAAAAACTAATCCATTTAATTGCACAATTCATTTATGATAAATATAAAATATAAAACTCTGAGCATCACAAATCGATATAGGTTTGAATTAAATTAAACTAATTTTAAATACAACGAAACTCGTTAAATTAATATTATCAATAATAGAGCCGATTTCACGATTCTGGTGAAAATAGCTTTTAAAATGTTAGAATTTTATTTTGACCAATTAAATTTTTTTACAACAAAAAGAAAAAGGGTGCAAGTATTTAAAAATAACTTTAAATAAATAATCCCTTATTATATCAGTCAAAAATGTTTTTTACAAATATGTTTTCCATCGCAAAATATCTCACATTAAAAAATTGAATTAAAAATCGTGAAAACGAAAAAAGATATCGACCTTCGGTCTGTGAATTTGTTTTCCTTAATTAATGATCAAGCCATGAAAAAAACCGATATCGTTGCATTTAATTTTTTTAGTAAATGGAGACAATTACCAAACTTTCTAATTAGTGTCGTCTACCGTTGCGCAGGAAAATAATATTTTTATTCCCATATTATAAATATAAATGTTATTAATAGTTCTTTAAAATGAGCCATCGTTTATTGAAATCGATTAAGGCATTTACAAGTTATGACACTAAAAATTTCAAGATGGCGTATTTCATACTGACGTTGCTATGGTAATAAAACAAAAGTTCATATAAAACTTGTGAAGGATTCCGTAACCTGTAGAAAACACTATAATACATCAGTTACTGTTTTTTAATTAATTTTAGTTAATTTTAATTTTAGTTTTTTTTTTTTCATTTTAGTTAGGCAAAAACAGTTTTTAAAAACTCCTTGCTGATAATTTTCTTAAAAATGACTCGATTTTCTATTTTTTTTAAGTATGACAAAAATAATTGGACTATTGAATGAGACTACAGATAAATAATTATAAATAGTACAGATCAAAATAACAGTAGGATTTCCTGCATATTTTTTTTTAATTTTGCTCCGAACATTGACATCGGGTTTTGAAGGATTACCTACCTAGAAATTTCCGTTTTGGGTTCTAACTTTAAAACCAAATTGTATATTTTGAAACAATTACAGATAAAGCTCCATGATTTAATGTTAAAACCAATCTTTTACTGTAAAAAAGTATCCAGAAGCGGGCTGGATTTAAATTTGATTATTAATCTTTAACTTGTGTTTCTAAAGCTGTTTCTAAAAGTTGTTGGACGTGAAAAGTTAAATAAAGCAAATGCACGGACTAATATACAGGGTGTTTCTAAAATAGGGTTCCAAACATCTGCTGCGTTATAACTCATTAAAATAAGTCAAAAAGTTCCTATTAACATGTGTCCTAAAACGCACCCTTAGGAAGTTATATGCCCTTAAAAGGGCTCAAACAAAATTTTTTTTTTTTTTTAAAAAAATTGCAGTTATGAAGGATCCGATCATTTAATAAATAATTTAGGACATAAACTAAGACTATTTAAATTTAGAGTTACACTTACTAATTAAAGAACTAATTACTACTGCAGACAATAGCTAAATGTGAAATAGAAAATAATGGGATTAAAATTTTCAAACTCAATTTACTTGAAAACCATTGGAACTATCGATTTGGACAAAGATAATATTTTTTACGTAAAATTGTTAAAATTTTATAAATCTGTAGAGAAAATTGTAAAAAAATTGAAATAAAAAAAATTACGGACCGAAAACCCCCTTCACCAACCTAAATGGGACGCATATGATTTGCATCTCGAAAAACGGCATAGCCCATGTTATTTAACGTAAAAAGTTATGTAACACCCATAAATTTTTTTCTATTTATTTGCGACCGTTTTGTCAATAACATAAAAGAACCAGTTTTATTTGAGCCCTTTTAAGGGCATATAACTTCCTAAGGGTGCCTTTTAGGGCACATGTTAATAGGAACTTTTTGGCTTATTTAAATGAGTTATAAACACAACAGAAGTTTGGAACCCTATTTTAGAAACACCCTGTATAAAAAATTAAAGTTGTTACTAAACTCGAACTAATGATTTTTACTATTGTTTCAAAAACCAATTTATCTCGAAAATTATTAGTATCTTATCGAGATAAAGAGATAGTACTATCTAAATTTTAGAATTTCTGAATACCTTGCAATAGTAAAAGAGCGGTTTTAACATAAACTTATGACAACTTATCTGTAACACAAAACGTCAAAATTTTATCAAAATATTCTACATATATTCTAGATACCATTTTGGCGGCCGATATTTCCGTTACAAGGAGCATTAGAAAAAATAACTAAGGGTAGGCAGTTGTAATAGTGTGACCTAAATATGTTAACTTTGCATTTTAATATTAAAAGCATCTACATAATTATAACTCTCGTAAATGCAAAGGTGTTATTAAGTTATTTAATCATACACAATCGTCTTGGAATAATCACAGAGGATATCCTTTAACTGAATGTTAATTTTCAAGGCCGATAACGAGATTCTCGAAAGATACTTACGCTCTTTCGTGGAAATACATATGAATTCCTCATTTCTGGTGTTCCCCTGTGTGAATATAGAGAAGTTGCAGTCTATTGGTTTGACGATTTTTTTGTTTAATTTGTCCAAGCACTGATTTCCATCTGAAGATGTGCACTCGTAGCAACTAAGGCCGTTTACTAAAAATAGAAAAACAATACAAAATTTGAAAATATACGTAATTCTGTTTGAATTGAATTTTGTAAGGATATTAAAAAAATACTTTAGTCAAAAGATATAGGACGAACCCATATCTACGAAGTTTGTCTAAATAAAATAGTACGCCACTACTTTACAGTAACAATAATATTTTCGGATTCGTCTTTCAATTTTCTACAAATCTTCTCGTTTTTCGAAAAAATACTGATTTTCGGGTAAAACTTAAAAAACTAACTGAAAAGACTGTACTTAAATGACATGAGAAGCACTAATCATTCGGTTATTTATTCGAATAAAGAAATTAATAACATTAGTCATCATTGTAATGATTTTATTTGAGTAAATGCTCAAAATTACCTCCATTTCCACGAACACAAACCCCACATCTTTTTAGTAACGAAAATGTAATTTGTTCGAAATTTATTGTTGCTTGAATCTCATGAAAAGCATTATTTATTCTTTCTTCTAAACGAGTTTTACTCGAAAATCAGCCTTTTTTCGAAAAACATAGGAGAGCAGTAATTTGTAGAAAATTGAAAGACGAATTCGAAAATATCATGGTTGTTACCATAAAATCATAAAACAGTGGCGTACTATTTTATTTAAAAAATATGCCACCGATACCCTGTATCTCCACCACTGGTACATGTAAATTTTAGGAAAAGCCCTCAGATTTTGGACAATGTTTACATAAATACATGTGCTCAATTTCAAATTATGTCACTTACCAGTTTTTAAATTATTTAAAGAAATTAAAAATATTTTTTGAATTTAACACTCTGTCTTTTTAACGAAGCGTCCTAGAAAAAAACTTTACAGGAAAGACTCCCTTTAAAATTAGCCAAAGAATACGAGGTTTCATTTTTGGTCACCATTTGTGAATCACCCTGTATATTAATTTCTAACTTAACAGTTTAGTGTTACGTTATGTTAGTTTTTTTGAATTTTTACTTAAGGAATGCCCCTTTAAAGTTCACTAAAGCCTATTATTTTTCAAAATACACCTTCTCTACCCAACTAACTTAATCTTAAGGCGTAGAAAACTAATTAAGACAATATTTAATACACCTACGTATACTTATGCATAGAATTAACAACGATTTCTAGAGAATAACTAGATAATTGCTTAATGGTGCTTTTAATTGAACTCGGTACATACCATAACCAGTTTCACACAGCACTATAAACACGATCGCAGCAAACAGTCTTTCGCTGAACTTGTTCATTTTTTCACTGAGATCACGGGAAGTGCCCACGGCTAATAAATAGCCCTGACGCAGATAAGAGCGCAAGGAAGTGCGTTGAGAGAAATGATTCGCACTTTGTCACACCCGACGAAATGTACAGGGCGTTCCAGAAATATTACTTTATGTTAAGTACTATTTTTTTATGGGAAATCCATCAAAATCAAATATCGATTTATGTTATGTCCTCATCCAACGGCAAGTACGCTTGCCGGACTTAAATCCTACAGACTATAATATTTAGACATTATAGAACGAATATTTCACTAATTGCGGGACACACTGTATAATATTCCTTATTTTTTGCTGCAAATAGAGGTAATGTCTGAAGTATTCTACGGCGTTAAAATTTAAGAAAAGAAAATATTCTTATATAAGCAACTGCCCTTAATATCCTCATTTTTTGGGTTACAGGATGTTAAAGTTTTAAAAAATATATCTATTCTTAAATTTGTATGCTCCTTTATCTTTGACAGATTATTGTTACAAAACTCTGCATATTACCATCCATAATCATAAGGACAGAATAAAATTTGAAAAATTTAATATTGTTTGAGGCTAAGATGATATGTATTGGAGCCTTTATCTGCCTATCAAAAAAATAAACACGCATATTTTTCTGAAATTTGCACAAATAATTTGTAGTTTGCTTAATTCTTTCATTTAAGAAGGTATATCGGGTTTACTCAAATGCACATATGTACTTGAAATTTATATAGCGTATTACCCAGTGCTCCCTCCATGAGTCATATTTTTCTAAATTTTTTTTTTGAATCTAGATTTTGAGATATTGTTGAAAGTTGTTCATTTTAACATAAGTTTATATGACGAAGATGGACGTGTGGCTCTTTTTTTGCCCATAACTGAGAAAAAAATGTAGAAATTGTGAAACAAAACTTTTCCATAGATAGTACACAGTATTATCTTATTTTTGATGTAACTAATGTAAGTTTTGAACATAGTACAGCTGTATTAATTAGAAACAGAAATCAATAATTGCATTTCTGTCTGACTTGAGGATTAATGTGGCAACGTCGCAATTAGCTGACAGCAAGGAGGGAATACATTTGAAAGACTTGTTAAAAACGAAATTGGTTTCAAAAATACACATTTTTCCTAAATCCCATGTACCTTGTTATCAACAATAAATGATGATGATTTTTTTAATGTTTTTAAAAAACTAGATTAATTAAAAAAGACTAGGAAGCTGTGATATATTTATTGGAATAAAAAATACAGTTGATAAATCCTTTTAATATATTTAATGGTTCATAAAAACATCGTAATCATTACCCAGCAATATTTAGGGTTACATAAAGTTTTCTTTACTTGATTAATATAATTAGTAATACTTGAGATAAAAGCATTTGTATGGAATAACAAAGGAACATAAATATTTCTCAGCAAACTTTATATCTAAAAAATTAGTTATAGTTGCAAAACGATTGTAACATTACTAAAATAGAGATTAAAAACACGAACAGTGAGTAATAATGTAATTTCTATCACAAAACCTTCAAAATTGCATCCAACATTTGCTTTGACTTGGACGAGAGATGGGCGCGATTGTCATTTCATTTCTTTAGAACTAAATTAACTTAATTCTCGTTGTTTTAAATAAAAGATACAAATCCTCGCGAGGATAATACGATATATTTGCTATATATAATAATTATATTGTACATAGTTTACAGACAATACATTTTTGAACGTGTACGCATCTTTACCCGAATTTGTCGCGCAATATCTCCGATGTCCGAGGTCTGTAGGTTCGCAGTGTGTACAACTGCTAGTCAAGTATTAGCGCTGTTGCCACATCTACATAGTCTTTATGCGTTCATTAAATATTAAAACTACTTAAATATGATATTTTTATGTTGTTAATTAGTCAATATGTATGCTATGTGCATATGAGTAGATTTATTTGCTATATAGATGATGTTTATCGCAAATAATTTCAATAGAATTTAATTTTTTCAAATTGGCAGCGGGCTTTAGTCCCATAAGATAAAGCATAGGACCCCCCTGCGCTCCTCACTTCCCTCGGACCCCGATATACCACCTTAAGTGTGCTAAAATATCATATTATATTCTAGTATTTGAGCTGAGATGACTCTACTGACCAGTGTACAACACAGAACACACTGGACAATATTTAATATTTCTTTCACATTGTGAGTATCACTCCATGTATTATAAGAAAGTGTCTTTTTTTAATTTTGTGTTTATATTGTTTTTATTTAAGACTTACACCTTGTAAATACGACGGGGTTAAACACTTGTGCACGTAGTCATAGAAATATGTATTACCTTACCGCAAATTAAATGAATCATTGGCGTACATTTACCAATAGTACACTCACCGAACATACTTTGAGTCATCTTATTATAGTGGTAACTATTTCAAAAGAAAATTATGTAACAAAAATTTGCTTCAATAAATTGGGATAATATACTCTAAGTGAAAAGCCTGTTATACAGAGTGTGGGCAGTTTATTCATCTTTAACACAAAAAAGTAGAAGCTGTAATATGACTCCCGACAAAATTATGAGCAGATTTGTTGTTTGAAAAAAGCATTGAACATTAAATGTTTGCTATTTATGACAAAAAAATGCCTACAGCAAGTACATATAGTTTGAAAATGAATATAAATGAAGAATAAAATAAGAATTAAGATTTTCATATATGTAACATCGTATTTGGAACATAAATATAATTTTTAAGAGTAGGCAAATCCTCGAATTTTAAAATAAAAGAAAAAAATCTAAAAAAGATTTAACTTTCTAAAGAAAGTTATTTTAAATTAAAAAACTGAACGCCTTGTACATAACTACACGTACAAACGTCATTTGCATCGCTGTTTTATCTTCCATTGATTACACTTAATATCAGGAATTCGCCCTGATTTACGTCCGAACTATATTGCGGTTCTATATCCGGTGTTATTTTAAAATATGCATATTAATATGACTCAAATTTACACCAAATTAAGAGTAGAATAAGGAATTACCTTAACCTAAGTACATTCAGCTGTAAACAGGAGAAGGAAAAATAGGTATATTGTTCTTTAAGATATAAAATCTTAACTTATCTTCCCTTTTTGCAGATGAAGAAACATCTGCGATTTTATTATTAGATGAAGTTCACCACGGGTTCCTACTACGATAAATCTTACATCCGCTGGTTAACCGAGACAATCAAATTGGGTTCTAGATGTGATTAACATTTTTTATTACAACTTTATATCATGTCTGATTCATCGTTATCGTCACTGATGGGACCTACTATTATTTATCTCAACTTTGTCTTAAAAATGCTGCTAATATATTTTTTATTAGATGTATCTGGGTAGGTTTTGAGCTCCGTTGAAGAATTCAAAAGATCAGTGAAAATCTTGATTTTTCACCTACGCTAACTAGGCGGTTTGGGTGACATGTATTGAGCGCTTCTGAAACTTTTTCAGGCTTCTTGGCGTGTATTGGAAACATGGGTGAAATTTTAAGCAATTTTAGGTACCTCTCATATTAACCGCGATTGGTAGAAAATACTGTTAAGGTTAAAAATTGTATTATTTGTATCGGGCTTTTATTTACATAATGTTTTATTCTTTTCTCGTACCGTAAAATGCGTGCCTGTTTATCCCAGTAGGCACATTAAAGCGAAAGAACACACATATACTTTCCTGATTATTTTATAAAGGAAGCGAAAACCGACTTAAAGTGATGGATGATTTTGAGTATGATGTTTGCTACCGTCTCTTTCTCTATTATACACCTAATACTCCTTACAATAAATTGTAATATTATTTTAAAAACAATGCAAATTTCACAGAAATAATGTTTCTGTTTCTCCAAGTTAAATTCTATTTCTACATTTGGAGCAATAAGAATAATTAGTTCTATTTTCTGGTTTATGTAAAATAAAATTTGATGGTCATAGGAGTGGTCAAAAGGGTGGAAATTCTAAAAATAACACATTGTATGTTACTTTTTTATACATTCATATTGTAAGAAAATTTTGCTTAGCAGTATCGGAAACTGAAGGCTATTTGTCTTCAAAATGTTTCTGAGATAGATACACAGTATCAAAAATTAATGAACAAATATTATTCATATAAAGTTCAATATCAGCTCTTTTTTTCACAGATACTTGATTATTTGAATTATGACCATCATAAAAATTCTTGTAATATGACATTTTTAACAATCCGCACACGTAAAATGACATTTTGCCATTTACCTGAGAAATACTAGACACAATATCTAATTACATTTTTGTTTCTGAATTTTTTTTTAATGCAGTTTTTATATTAGGTGCATCCTAAAACAAACAAATTTTTTATCTGAAATACCTTTTATAACCCTGTATATATAAATATACAGAGTTAGAACTCTTTTTAATTATCCAATACAGGTATCTTTCTTATTTTATGAGATACAGACATGTTTTTTAAATTTAGAAAATTCCGAATAATTCCAGAGTTAACCGATTTTATGATATTTCCTTTTTTAGTCAAATTTTACTTGTTTTTTATAGTGTAAGGTTTTCGGGTAATATCAAGGAAACAGGTCGGAATATTTATTGCTTCTTTATTTGCCCACAATAACAATGTGTTTTTCTTTTGCATACAAAGAAGAAGTGTATTTTACCAATTCAGCACGGCGCTCTTATCACAGATAGAAGACATAAAAACCCCGACAAATAAACGGACAAGAAATCATCGTTATGATTCTAACTAAAAGCATTCAAACCATGAGGTACATTATTTTTGCATATATAACATATAGTTTTAGGGCAAAAAAGTGTAGTCCGATATTAATGATGTGAGGAATAGAATTTTGCTGTCAGTATCTCTTAAAATGTGTGCTGAACTGTAGCGAACTTTTGCTTTGGTTACGGACGCTATATTAAATTTTTGCCTCATTAGAAGAAAAGGGAAATTCTCTTTGTAACGATATATAATTCATAATGGAAGATCCAATATGGCGCCCCTCAAAATGCGGCAAAATCACTACAA